GAAAGATAAGAAGGCCTAAGAGTGAAGGGGCAGCGATGTGGTGTTTGTTAAAGGTACTCCAAGACTAACGTCAGCGTGCTAATTGGGTGCAATAAATAGAGTGGCAGAGGTTGGGTGGAGAATTTATCCTTACCTCAATAAATAATTATGTGGGTATTTATAGTTTGCTATTAGTTATGGGTAGGACCCATGACCTGTTGGGGTCTATGTGTATGGTTGTACGGACCTTTCAGGCGGTAGGACATGTGTCGTTCATCAATGGTTTAGAAGAGTGTTAAGCAAAAGTGTGTTGCTGACTTTACAACGGAAGTTGAGTATGTTACAACTTGTAAAGCTGTAAAGGAAGCTACCTGGCTCCATAATTTTTCAATTGATCTGGAAGTTGTTGCGGGTCATCCAGGTAAACTATATTGTTATAATAGTGGAGCATTGACTAATTCAAAAGAACCAAGAAGTCATATGAGTCCGAAGCATATAGAGAGGAAATATCACCTGATCAGAGATATAGTCGAGAGAGGCGATGTAGTAGTTCAGAAAATTACGTCAGAGAACAACCTCGCAGACCCATTCACAAAGACATTGCCATTAAATGTCTTTGACATACACTTAGAAGGATTTGGGATTAGGGACATGTCACACCTGTTTTAGGACAAGTGGGAGATTATTAGGAATAATGTCCTAAAAGTATGAGATGTAATAAGAGTATTTATTATTTAATTGATAAAATAGTTTATTCATTATTTATGTGCATGTATTATTGAATACTTTATGAATATCATTGAAAATTCTGCGATTATTTATGTGACCTTCAATTTTGTATATAAGTGTTATATACGAGAGGATAATATTTAAGTATAATAATTGAAATAATGTTCGTAATGAATTTAATTAAAACATTACTAATACATATCATTCCCATTAAGAATGAAATGGTATTATCCGCATCATTAATATAGAGGGGTATTGAATGAGTATATTATGCATAATAAGATCATATAGAACTGGGACACATACACAATTTGATTTTCTGATAATTTCCATTAAGTATGGAAAACTAAATTTGAGTCGACCGATAGTTATATATAGAATGATTTTAATACTGAGTTATTAGTACACTTTTATTTATGGATTCATATTTTTTGACTTGCTTGGAACGTATTTCGAGATTCTAAATCATATTCCTTGTATCTTGGAAACATGATGAAATGGATAGCCGAGAATGCTAATATACAAGCTAAAATCCTTTCCTTTTTCTTAGAAGAAGTAGATAAATAATTCCCTTGAGAATTAATTTAGTACTTGAATAAATAACGGGCTCGTAGTCATAAATGTGTTTTATGAATATATTATTCATTAGAGAATCAATCGTATTCAAGAATAAAAATGTAATTATAGAGGTTAACGGATTTTACCTAATTATGAATTATTTATAGAGGATTAATCTATATATAGCGGCTATATCAAATGGACACTTTAAGTTCTTAGAAGTAAATTATGTCTATAATTTTGAAAAATCAATTCCTAGTTTTTAGTGGAGTGACTTTTAGAATTAATAGAATTAATTAAATAGTTTAATTAATTATTAATTTTATTAGAGCTCATAATTATAAGTCCATGAGTCCCAACATCATCCTTGTAATATTTGTAACACAGATGAATTATTGGATTTTAATATCACGCGAAATAAATAATGTGATTATTTAATTAAATTAATTTTGGAACACACTGTGGTGGGACCATAGGAAGCCACACGCCAAGACATAAGGAGGTGCAGGGGGCGTGTGGCACATGGTGAATCCCACTAGGATTTAGTTGCTTATTCTCCAAGATATCTGGTTTACTTATTTGACGAGTTTTACAATCAATTTCAAAAAGAAAAGTAAAATTTGACTTTATTTATATTTGAATTTGAGTTAAAATTAGAAACTGGATTAAAGATGAATTTTTTCTCTCTCCAGCCTGTAATTTGCACCAACCACAGGGAGGTATCCCTGTGGTGTGGCCGGTCATGTAGTAAAGGGAAGGGAGAATTTTGTTTCCAAAATTAAATGGGAAACAATATTTCAAATGAGATTTAAAATAACTAATTTTCTATTGTTTTGTCTTTAAGTTAAAGCAAATAGATCTTCCTAGTGTTCTATAAATAGGTTACAAACGAAAATTGGAGATAACAATTTTTACTTTCCTCTCCTATAGGTGGCCAAATTTCCTAGAGAGAAAAGAGAAAAAAAGTTTTTCCAACTCGTAATTCCTTCACATACATGCGTTGATAGTAAAAGAATATAAATTAATGAGTGATCATAATTTGATAATTCTATATTAGAGCCTACACTCTACGTCTCTCAAATTTCAAGGACTAGACGAGAAAGATTCAAGTTTTCTGAGAAAGTTGGGAGTTTGTGGTCAAAGACCTCAAGTTATCTACCTAATCGATCGCTAGGTATCTATCTTTATAAATTAATATGATTAATTTATTATTTCATAAGTTAATATATTCTATGAGTATTCAAAAGTTTTATAAAAATTTTTATTATATACGATCCGTACATACACGCTTCTGCTTTCGGAAACCAACACCTTTGTCAACAAATGACTACAGACCGATCAATTTATGCAATTTCACTTGTTAAAGGAGTTACCGCCACGCCTTGTTTTGCCTCTATCTTTTCTCTAGCTTTATTTTTGACGATATATATATATATATATATATATATATCAAATTTTGGTTGGTTTCTCAAATTATTTGAATATGTAAACTTATGTTTAGTAGTAAAATATTTTGTAGTTATGAATACTTTTAATTTTAGAATGTCAATTTTTATATTGATACTTATAATTTTTTTTTCACAAATATGATATGATTTTGTAATATGCATAATATTTAATGACAGCTTACTATTAAAGAAATATTGTAAGTATTACTTGATTTTGCTATAACTTTTATTCTTAGCTGTGCCTTCGTTGAGTTCAAATGTTGGATCCGTCATTAACAGCAACATAGTACTTGATGAACGGCGTGCACGTATGAGTGATGATATTTTGGAGGCAGTGATGTGCGTCAAAGATTGAGAGGATGCTCTCAGAAGAAGCCAATGGGTTCAAGATGATTAGGTTGATGATTTTAAAAATTTTGACATTTCTGATACTCCTGTTGGGAGTAATACATTGTAATTACCAACAATATTTAATTTTTGTTGTTTATTTAATTTTTTTGTTTGATTTTTATTTAGTAATCTTGTAAACATTTTATGTACAATTATCCTCACTCAACTCTTTTTTTTTTTACCAAGATTTTGTCTCATTGGGTTTCTCTTGAAAAGGTTTTTAATGAAATAATCGTAAATAAAATATCTATTTTAATATTTTCATTCATTATTCAAACTTTTATTAACTTTTTTAAAAATTCAAAAAATAATATCCTTAAAAGAAATTCAAAAACAAATATTGACAAAAAATAAATTATAAAATTGCATATTAAGATGGGCAAACTCATTCAAACCCATGATGGTCAAGATGAGCATACCATCCTAACTCATTGATGGGCTCAAATGAGCTGGGCCATCCATGGCCCATGGCATATCCCGACCTTGCCCACGAAAGATTAGCCCATGGTGTGGGTTGGGCCGAAAGTTGTTCTTATATGGGCTGGTCCTACACGGCTCACCAACATCATGGGTTGGGCCAGCCCTACACGGCTCACCAAAATCATAGGCTGGGCCGGCCTAGCTCAGGGCCCCACTTGGACCTAAGTAGAATGGGTCGTGCCATACCGGACTGGTACATTCTTATAACCCTAACAAATTGTTAGATAGCTAGAGTATTTTTTACAATTGGTAAATAGATAATTTTTAAAGGTCCCATTTCACTTGACATCTTATTTTAATTTCTCTTTACTTTTCTCCTTATTTTCATTTTTTTTTTTACAAAATTAACATCCCATTGGTAAACGCACTTTTTGAATAGTCTATCAAGATTATAAAATAAGGGTAGCAGTTTGTGTTCAACATAACACCACCACTCAAACTCAACCCAAATCGATGCCACGATTGACACATAATTAACTTCAAATGACTGAATACACTAATTTTTAATTGAAAACTAAATTTAGAAAAAAAATTAAAAGAATTATTTTTAGAATTATTTAAATTAAATAAAATGAAAATATAAAATTTATGAATTTAAAATAATCACTTTTTAAAATGATTTAACTTAAATAAAATGAAAATATAAGATTTGAGGCTTAAACTCACAAAATTATGGTGAAACTGATTAGGCAAGAAAAATAATATTCGAATTGTTTTTATTAGTTGTGACAATACAAATTTGAATTGCGATTTTTACTAAATGGGTGACTAATTGTGTTCACTGAAAACCGACTCGAAAATTTGAGTCCACACAAATGCGACCCAAATTGCTACGTAACCCTATTAAAAATAAAAACCTTTTCCTTATTTCAATCCCTAGAAACCTTCCCTTGGAAATCAACACTGAATTGGCCCTCCATTGCAACTCAAGTCTCTCTTCCTAGACAACTTATGAATTCTCAAAAGTCTATAATCTAGTTCCTAATTAATTTTTTCACCTCAAATATTGAAAAAGCACGGCACAATTTTCAACGAGCTACTGCATTTTGTGTTACATTATAAAATTGCACGTACATGAGATGAAAATTAGATATGAAGCGGCATTATGACTTTATCAGAATGACATTTCCGCATCCAGTCAGGACTGGAGTCAAGAGTTGCAAGGAGGGTGAGAAATAACTGTGTAACAACTAACCCATTTATTTTAGTGAAATTCTGCGCTGCTTAAAATGTTCATACAATTTTATGAAAGAAAGTTAGCCATAGACGAAAATTACATGTAACAAAAGAGTTCACTTTCAAAAAAAAAAAAAAAAAAAAAAAAAAAAAAATTGAAAAAAATCCATTAATGCAATGCC